GGCGGATATATATATATATACATACATACATACGTACGTGCGTACGTACGTACACACATACATACATACATACATACATACATACATACATACATACATACGTTGTATACACCTTCAACATGTTGCCTGACACTCAACCGAAGCAAAGCCTGTAAATACCGATAAAAATGGAGTGCTTCGTCTCCGTCTCGAGCACAAGCAGAGCCGGGGCCGCAGATGTTTGAATGACTTCAATCAGCTGCTGCTTCTGATCAGCCTGGTGCCAAGGGCTCGGTGGTCCCTTCTGGTCCTCGCACAAGACCTCGTACCACTTCCAGAACAGGCGAGCGGCCACCATAGTAGTTAGCCGGATGGGCTTGCTATGTTGTACCTCACAATCAGAGATGCAGCGGCTTGAGACTGACTAGTTTAGGCCTGCCTTGGTCAGGGAGTCCTCCTGCTTTCCTGCTCAAGCATCATGGCTTGGAAGGTCTTGCAAGTGGCGTAGGCGAAGCTCTGAAGACTGGGATCATACCGTGAAGCAGGGTCAAGCCATGGCATCACTCGCTTTGAGAGCCAAAGAGCCATGAGAGCTCCCATGGCCAAGGGATCTCCTTCTGCAGGCCAGGCCCCTCAGGTGGCCTCGAACCGTTTTGTGCTGTCAGAACGGCCGAGCAGGTCCGCCATGGGCAGTGCCCAGGCCCTCTGTGGCACAGAGCTCAGCTCCACGGTGACATTCTCGGGCCGTGCCGCGGTGCAGTGGCCGTCAGGCGAGAGGAGCAAGTGCGGAGGGCCTCTCGTCTGCAAGGGCCGTTCTTGGCAGCTTTCCGCCACACCGCTTAGTTCAACAGGCAGTGCTCACAGCTGACGATATCGCAGTCCCTGGAAAGCATCATCGAGGAAGCAAGCCGGCCTGCAAACCTAGAGTAGCTAGAGCGAAGCTGCATTCAAGGAGCCCGAACCTTCTGGCGCTGTGTTTCCAGACACACTGGAAGGCTGGACATGAAGCATGACTAGACATATCAAGTGCAGTGCCCCCGGCGTGCAAGGTCTCAACGTCATTGACCGTAATTTATTGCAATTCTGTGCGGCACCTCGTGCTTACCCGCGGAGCCTGCTGCTCCCTAGACCGATCGTCCCAGGTGCTTCAAGCAACTTAGCCGGTGTTCGTTGGCTCCTGGTCCTGGGAGCCAACCGTCGCGTGACCGCTGCTTGACTGCACAATTACAGACAATGCCCTTGCTTCGGATTTTCTTCCCTTCAGGATCAGAAGGGCACAACCTGTCTACATGCTGCTTGCCGCAGCGGCTCCTGCAGCATCGTCGAAGTCTTAGTTCTCCTGGATGAAGAGCCAGGCCAGTCACATCTCACGGAAAGCACGCTTTCTCTCTCAGAAGCTCCGCCCTAGCCAAGCTCGGCCATAGCCACAGCCCATCATAGCCCTGTCTGGCAGGTGCGGGCCCGATCCGCATGGCGAGCGAGAACGGGGGACAGCCAGAGACAGACGCCGCTTACCCCTTTTGTGGGATCATGGTCCAAGTGTATGTCAAGTGTCACGTACCAGGAAAAAGCTTGGGGAAGGAGGAATTCGTGCCAAGCCTCGAGATGAGTTGAGCCGAGGAGGCGAAACATGGCGAGGAGGAAAAAGCCACAGCTACAGGCAAGGGAGGCCTACAGTCAACCGACGAGGACCCTTAGGAGCAGCTTGAGAGCAGCAAAGCGGCCATGAAGCCAAAGACACGCGAAGCCTCTAAAGTGCAGAGGCAGGATGGACACCATTGCACGTGGCGGCGTTCATGGGACGGCAGGATGTAGTCAGAGTCGAACACTTAGCGGTATAGCCTCTGCACAGCATCTCAACAGCGAGAGGTGTGTTGGCTGCTGGCAAGGTCCTCCTCAGAAATGGCGCCAACACTCTAGCACGGAGCAACAAGGGCCAGTTTGCCGTGGATCTTTGCTCCGAGCCCTTCCAGCAACAGCTGAAACTTCAAAGGTTGCTTCATGCTGTCAAGGTGCGGATCCAGCAGTATCACCAGAACGATTCTAATCAGTGCATCAGAGCTAAGGATGTCTCCACGCGGCGACTTCTGCAGAAGGAGATGAGGGCAACTTCTGACGTGGCCATGGGCTCCTCGGACAGACTGGCAGGGCTAGGGAGAAAGGAGGCAGCTCGCTTTGGCTTGAAGCGTGAGGTCTTGACTTCCTGGACGACAGGCCCTCTTTGAGCTGCAGAGACCTTGGAGGGAAAGTGTCCTTTCCAGCCAGGGCCTTCAGCCAGGCGCAGGAGCCTACCCTGCAGTCTCTGCAGGTCGAAGGCTGCCTTGTGAGCCAAAGTGTCGTGTGGTTGCAATAACAATCCTGGACTGGAAGGCACGGTTCTATCGCGCTCTGTGGCATCACCTTCAAGGGAGATCCGCCGCGGCCCTACCTCTGGACTGAGCCAGCTCTGGCAGACTGTAGGGGTCATCCAAATGTGGTTCTCTGGGCCGCCAAAGTCACAGCCCAATCAAAGCCAATCGCATCGCCGCCACAGGAACCATGGACAAACAGAACGCCCGAATCCCATTCACGACAAAATCACAATCGCGGGAAACCCGGCCACCCAAATCACAACACGTACTTGTGCTCGTGCCCGGATTCCTAGCTTGCCGGGAAGCGGCTGTCACGATGCTACCCCATGAGCTTCCGTGAGTCACCGTGACATATACAAGGCTTTGTTTGCATGCGTTTTCCGTGCCGCTGCTTCTAAGGATTCGAGCCTTTCTTCGTGCCACGAGCTCCGCTTTTTGTAGAAGAAGATATTGAGCTCGAGTTACTTGGCGTGATGTGTTTATCACTGCCGCCCGGGCCCGGCTGAAGCTGCCGAGGCTTGCCGAGCTCTGTGCCTATCTTGGCTGCCAGATCTTTGAGTCGAGTCCCGGCCGGGGTCTTGCTCCCTGGCCTTCCTTGGAGAACTGCAAAGGGCCACAGGGCGATTGTCGAGTCGCCGAGGCTTTCCTGGTCGTCACTGGCTCTGTCCGAGACTATCCCATCGACCTGGTGGGTTTCATGCGCACCACCAACCTCAGCCACCTTCAAATCGGAACCTTCCTGGGCGAGGACGGACAAGCCCGCATAATTTAGTTTGACCTCCGAAGTTCTGCAGCTTGAGCTCAGAGCGGCTGCCAGGACTTCTCACTGTCCAAGATCCTTCGGATGGAGTTCTTGAACTCTGCAACATGGCACTGCACTACACCTTTTTTCTGCCTCTTTTCATCTAGCTGACGACGCGCTTGTGAGACGAGCTGCGCATCCAAGGTTTGCTTGACAAGCACTGGTGTAGTATCTGCGCTGCGAACAGGTACCATTACCATGCAGTACCACATAATACCTGTCGTATACCGTGGCTCGAGCTAGATGCCGTGCTTCAGTATTGCGCCGCTTCGCGGCGCAATATCGCAGGCCTCACGGGCCTCAAAGTGCCGCCAGATCTACAGAAGATGAATCGCCTTCTTGGCAGCCTCTCCGAGGCAGCTGCGCCGGCTTCTTATGAGCATCAGAGCTTGACTGTAGCTGGAGGTGTGGTGGCGTCAACAACTGCGCGCTGCAAAGCTCAGCAAAAACAAGGCGAGAATGCGACCATGTGAGCGTTCTGGCCTCTTCATGCCTCTTGTCCCTGGCGACAAGGATAAGCCCGACAAAGCCAAGAGCCCTTCCAAGAGCCAGGAGAGGCAATGCGAAGCGTTATCGGGGATTCCTTTTGCCGCATGCTTGGGGTCTGACATCGGAAGTCTGTGTGCAGGATGACCTCATCGAGGAATCCATTGACATGGCTATGGATGTTGTCGCGGATGAGCTTCGCGGTACAAACCTCAAAGCGTGGCTTACCTGCACCTAGTTGAGAAGACCGGGATTTGTCCGGACTGGAGAGATGTTTGAGGATGCTTCCATCTATCAACAGCTTGCACCAGCTCTTCTTCTCGACAGTGTCTTGGTCATCCATCGTGGTTGCCACTACCCACTTGCCGTCAGCCCTGACCCTCATCTACAGCCACTAGTCACAAGGTGATGCTCCATTGGAACCTGCATGCTCCATTACCTCCTTCACAGAAGTTGGACTTCGATGCGTGGGTTGCGCTGAACCGCTTCTTGCCAGATTTGGCGTGTTACACATGTGCACATCATGTGCAGCTGGTTGCTATGTACTTTGCTACTGTGTTCAGGAAGTGGCACGAAGGAGTGTTGGGCCATTGTCATAGCTACGTGGGCAGGCGATGCATGAGTGACACTGTGCAGGAAGATATCCCAGATTGGGTGCTGGAGCCCATCTACAGAGCTGTGTCAAGAGCTCCCTTGGAAGAGCTCTCACTGGATTTGGACAGTGAGACGAAGCTACTTAGCCGAGAGCATGCTTGGCTGCTAGCCACGTACCGCATGCAAGTGCATTCCATCCTCCGATGTACCACCAACTGTCAGCTTCAGGCCAGTCACAAGCGCTGGTGTGCCGGCTGCACTATGTAGCAAGTGGGCTGGAAAGTGGAACTGGCTGCATGGAAGCAGAATTCTTTTCTTTCTCATCCCACAGGTAATTTCAACTTGTGTGAGCTTGCCATCGCCTCTGCCACCGGCTGGGTGCAGCTCGACGAAAAGCAGATTACGCCTTGGCAAGTGGGCTCAGCAAGAACCTGAGGCAAGTGTTCGCAGATGGCCTGCCAGCCCTTCCTGGCGTCCCTCGTTTTCGGGCAGTCAGCTTTGTCGACACTCGCTTGCAGGAGGGTGTTTGTTGCAGCGGTGCAGGCGTAGACCGTGAGTACTCCACACAAATGTGCACCAGCCGAAACAAGAAAAGCGTAACATGCATCTCCCATACATACCCCTCAAATTCCTTTTTCATTAGACTCATTACACGAATGTAACACGTTAGATGTGCGTACACATGGCGGATAATATCGGCGCCCCACAGGCTCTGTGCATAATGTCGAAGAGGCGCAGCAAATGTCGCATGTCAGGGTGGTTGTGCCCAGAGGACTTGTTGTGTTGGGGCTTTTGGTTCAGCTGACTGATCTGTGCAGCGACCACTGCTCTGGTCCTTTCCATCATAGAAGCGACTTGCAGAGCCGAAGCTTCGTCACGTTGGGGGCCAAGATCTCAGCATGTTCCGGCGAGTCAATGCAGTATTCACCCAGCAGGCATCTTTGCCTAGGTCTCAGGCATTTGCTTGTTGCTGCCGCTTTGTTTGTATCTTGGACGGCTTTGTTCGCGATTTGTGACAACGATCGATTCGTCGATGCCACAAAAGATCTCCAACCCACACTCCGACTCTTCACTCGCACGGAGCACGAACTCCACTATCTAAGTGCGATGTGGAATTTTTCGCTGAGCCAACTGCGTAAATGCCGGTGGCAGGTGTCAGTCTGTGCAAGCAGCAGCATGCAAAGCACTCCTGTGTCACAAGCAGCCTCAGCTGATCCCAAGGAGTGCATGCAAATCGCTGGAATGACTTGCCACTCATCAACAAGAAGCGAGGAAATCTGGCTTGAGCGGGGTGGGAGCGGAAGAGAGAGTGAGAAACAGAAAAGCACGGGCGACCGCATTGCCTGGGCGAGCGAGAGAGAGAGAGAGAGAGGGCATAGATCGAGGGGCAACCCTCGGTCGTAGCCCTGGCGAAAGAAAGACCCTATGTCCTGGGGAAGAAGAGAGAGAGAGAGCGCGAGGGCTTTTGACGGAGAGCAAGCAAGACAGAGAGCCCAGGTGAGTCCACTGCATCCGCCCGCATGCAGTCTAGTCTGGACCAGTCTACGGGGGGCTCCCCTGTCGCGGTGCCCTCAGATCCTGGCATGCCATGGCTTCATCGCCAGACCACTCTCAGTCGGGCTCAGGCGAAGGCCCAAGGAATTCTTGTGCCCCGGAGAAAAAAGTCTCGTCTAAGATTTACATGTTCGCCCTCTGTGCTCTCAGGACGCCCATTCCGAAGCCGCGGGGGGCTTGAGTCAGATCGCCGTGCGAAGTCTGAAGTTGCACTTGTCAAATTTCGGGAATGTGGGGAACATGTGGAACGACGGAAAGCGGATGCAGGCACGAATCTCACGAATCTGTTCTATTCACAATGCAGCGACGGAAGGAATGCCGCAGACGAGTTGACCGTTTTTATCCGACATCATCTGACCACCCCCATCATTGCAAACTTGGGCACGCCTCAAGGTGTGGCTGTCACTTTGTGGGCCGATGTTGTTCTTCGAGATGGAAGCTGGGCCTGGGCTGAACCCGTTTGCATTCCTGCACACGAAGCATGCAAAACTTGCAGCCGCTCGGCACTCAATTTTGCTTAGTGAGGCTTAGTGGTGGCATGAACAGCAGTAGACTGTTCGCATCTCCCAAATCAATAGAATCGAAGAACATCAGCCTGGAGCTTCAACTAAGGCTGTTGATCCTCCACGGCCTGACCCTTACCTGGACCAGACTGATGATCCTTTAAATCGCTTGCGAATGGGCAGGCTTACGTTCACACTGTGCGAACATGGCGCAGATTCGGACCCGCTGACAATGTAAGCAGTCTGTCTCAATGTTTATTGTATCCCTTGTTGAAGGAGACGGCCTCTGCCAGTCCGAAGAGTGGATTGGGTGGGCTCCAGCTGGTGGTCCTGTTGCGAGACGGCCGCAGCTTGGTTGATTGATTCTAAGTTTGCCCGACCCTTCGATCGGACTCCGCTAAAATCTGGAAGACCTTTCTGACAGGCTTCCAGGCCTTTCATGTGAAGAAGCTTGTGCTGCGCGTCAGTGATGCTTCTGCTTTGAAAGCTTGGGTGGAAGCAATCGCTTCCGCCAACGATCCCTGTGGAGAGATTGGTGACGACGTGCCTGTGTGAAAACGCACTACGATCCGCGATAGTATCAGCTTTTGAAGCATACTCTGGCTTACTATGGCCTTGGTGGTTGGCACATAGCAGGAACTATCTCCTTGAGATCAAGGGTCAGTGGCTTCAGCGTCGGAACCCCAGCGGCTCAATCAAGTCCAAGTCCGAGCCACCAGATATGGAAAACATCGGGATTCAACAGCAGGTGCCCCTCTGCGCCCTTTGGGCACTGCGAGCAAGGCAGAGGCTGCCCAAGTGACTGCCAAATCTAAGTGCGGAGGGCAGGGGTCCCTTTTTGTGTTATGTTTTTGGTTTAGGGCCGGGAGAGGTGTGTGTCGCGGGCGCAGAAAGGAAGGAAGAAGAAAAGGGCAGGAGCGCATCTAGAAGTAAAGGAAGAAAGGAAGAAACGGAAGGAAGAACGTCAGGAAGGAAGCATGGGATGATGCACGTCAGAACGAAACAAAGACGTAAAGAAGAAGGAAGGAAACACAGAAAGAGGAGCAGCAAATAGATACATAATGATACAGACATACATATGAATGGAATACATACAACATACTATACCATACCAGACTAGACTTTGATATACTATAGACTATAGTATGACACCGCACGGGGTTGCAAATATACTCAGGAGCATGCCGAGGCGTGTTGCCTCTCAGCGCAGCTTCGGGCTCTAGTGTGGCGAGTTCAGGTTTTGCCAGCCGAGTAGTCCAGCCACCGGCCCTTCGTTCATCGTGCTCTGCTGCCCGCTCTTCTGCTGTAAAGTATCGGCTTGTGTTGTGGGGCGATTTCAGCTGCTTTGGTCCTCTCGGGCCACTTTCGGCGGAAGCTGCTGCAAGAGCCCCGAGCGTAGGAGGTTCAGTGCCGAGCAGATTTCGAGAATACCGCGGATGAGTGAGAACGACGGCGAGCTGGAACGTGTGGCTACTCGCTTGGTTGGCCTGACCATTGACATTTGGCGCGACACAGGCTCAAGGGCTTATTTAGATGCCTTCAGCTCGTTGAAGCACTCGGTGCCCGGACCGAAACCGGGCCGCTTGCCGGCAGCTCCGCTGCTCGCCGACGAGCCTTCCTTAGAAGATCGCTTGGAAAGCTGTGTTGAGGTCAGGGATTTCAACGCAATCGACCTCGGAGTGCTTGCTTCGCAAGCTTGTGGCCTGGGCAACGCTATTCCACGCTGGTGAGTGGACTGCCAGTGAGCGAGTGGCCAGGGCGCTGCAAGCCGGCCACTGTGCCAGGGAAGTGCTTCGCGGCACTGAGGCGGTTGTGCCTAAGACGGCTGCGCTCCCTCTTCGGAATCGTTTTTACGTGTGCCTGCAAAGTGTTCGATATCCGCGGGGCTTTGTGAACGTCATCTGGAGCTATGCCACCTACCGGTCAACTTGCATCAATCACTTGGGCACTGCACCGGAACGAGATTCTGTGAGTCATGGCTTTCGAAGACCGAGGCCTTGCGCCTTGCTGTATTGTCAGGCCGCAGATCAGCCATGGCCGGTCGTCATGTGACCATTCCTTGGTCAGATCCTTGGTCGCTCCTTCCGAGGCGGAGCGCATACCTGTGCGCGACATCATTCATAGTTCGGGCTCGCCGTGGCGGATTCTTAGCAGCGCTTGCTCAAGATCAGCGTGTCCAACCTGTTCTTCTTCGGCTTTCCGAGGGCGACGAGGACACTGTGTTTCGCAGAGAGGCAGGCCTGGCTGGAGGCGACCAAGATCGCAGCAGCATAACCAGAATCCAGAACCAGAATCTGGTTTCGGTTTCGGCTTGTTTACATATGATGTAACGGAATAAAGGAGTCAGGTATACATGTACATGAAGTGCAGAACACACTGTAAATACCGATAGATTCGGACTCTAGGACTAAGCATCTTGGGACG